TTGGACTTAGATGACATCTACCACTCCCTCACTCCTATCCAATTCCACTTGCACTACAATGCAGGTCAAACACTGGCGAAGAATCCTCTTAGTCAATTCATCAAGTAGTAGCAGGACATCACGACCTCTTTAATCTGCAGAACCAAACTGAACCGAAAGGACTAATCTTGAACCGAAGTACTCAATAAAACTGATGAATTCGAGCGCTGGGCTTTAGAAACGATCGCCAAAGATCGGAATGGAAGCAGAAGATGCTCAAACGGAGGCCCCAAAATGGATTCTCTCATCAGGATACAGAGAAAAAGAAAGAAAGCAAAAGAAGAAGACAAGGCGAGCGTCTCCAGATTCTGATGGAAGCATTTCTCTCTCTCTCTCACTCTCTCTCTTCCTTCTCAAATCTTACAATTCTCTCTAAACCCAAACAACCCAAACAGGAACAGCAGAACTCAGAATGGAAGCGCGAGAAGATGTTGAAAGTCCAATAAACTGCACTGACACATGGAAGGAAAGAATTGACTGGATCCAGTGAAGCTTTATCTACGCACCTCGATAAAAATCTTCTCCTTTACCATATCCACAAAATCTTTTGAAGCGAAGATCATTCGCACAAGGGAAAAGTTGACAATTAAGAGTAGGATAAGAATTGGAAGACATTGGGGAACCAAATGATCCCACCGAAACCTTCGATTCTCCCCCAGCTTTTCAGTTCTCTCCCGTGTACATGTGAATAGGGTTACCTATATATACCCTACACTTACATGATATATCCCTTCAAATGTAAAAATTCCTCATATATACTATTAAAAATATGTTAAATAAACTCAGACATGGCTGCTAGTGAGGTTTTCTTTTTATTATTATTAAGAATAATAAAATTAAAATATCTCGAAATGCCCTTTATTACTTTCACCAACAAAAATTGAATGTGTAAACAGACCAGAAAAAAAAAGTGAACTATTAAATTATTAGAAATATAATATATATATACATATTTAAAGATGTTGATGGTATTTATAGTGTCGATGTTACCATACTGAATCCCAAAGCCATTCCATATGCGATGCCGCCTTCATCTCCCACGACCGTATGCTCTCTGTGATCCAAGAAAGAAACAACACATAAATTTTCGATCTCAAACAACAAATACTAGCACGAGAAGGAAAACAAGGAGGCCTCACCTCATCAATCCTTTCCTACACCTTTGTGGCGTTGCCAGATGCATCCGCATGCAACAAAAATCCCCTGCAGAGTCATCGAGAATAATATATATACATTTAACACCTAAGTTCAGAGAAGAAGAAATCATTTTAGATAGATATATGGGATGGGTTTATACAAAGAACCACAGAATCCCAACTTTCATATGAACATAAATACTATGCTTGGGCTACTTAACCTCAAAACTCAACTGATCTCAGATTGTAAAAGCAATCCGACAATCAGGTAATATCAATTTGCATCAATTCTCTCCTGGAAAGAAGCCTTGAGATCATAGTCCACATCCACTTTGTGAAGGTTGACCTACAAAGGCGAATATCACACCAGGACTTTTCCTCAACTTTACAAATAGATTCAATGATTCCTAACCATCTTTCATTGCTGAGCATACAGCTTCATGTCATCGAATGCACAGTACAAGCGAAAAAAAAAGTTTCCACCACCAAAAGGTTGCATCAAATTTCAAGCCTTGGCACAATTAGGTAAAATAAAAAAGAATCCAAGAAGCTAATTGACCGGCAGAAATGACTGTACCTCAATCGCACAATCCAAGAAGCAACCCTGCAAACAACATCCTGTTTAGGTAGCAGTTTACATGAAAATAAAATCAATAAAGACTAATGTTCCATCTTAAAATCACAAAGAACACAGCATTCTACCAAATGCAGCCTGAAGGCACTTTGCATGCAGAAATGACAAGGCTTAAAGTTGCAGAATTCTTTGGGCCAATATGAGTTGTCTCATCTTACTATCAACTCTTTATACTTATACCACCTATAGTTCATTTAATGGAAAGCTAGATTGGCTTGTAACTTGTGAGAAATGGACTAGCATAATAGACGAATAAGAACACCTAATTATCAGACAACGGGGAGATGGAAATACAGTCCGGTTGTCATGGATTAGACACTACCACAGAAGCTGAAGACCTGAAGCCATAGCTTCCGTAGTCGGGAAGTAGAATGATACAGGGAATTTCTTTTACTGTTGAGAATCCAATGTTTCTTATGATGGACCACTAGTTAAGAAAGTGCCAAGATTCCATGGAACAAAAACTTCTCAGAACAGACAAGACTGCATACTAGTGAATTCACTATTTTCTTGGGTGGGAACTTGATAGAATAAAGTCACCCTTTTCTTTCTGTGGAGTATCAAGTTCTTAACATTTTTACTATCAGCAGGCCAAAAAACTGCTCTCTTCTGTTGCACTGAAAATAGCATCTTAAGAAACTCAGCTTCTCAATAATTTCATCAGGAGTAATCCTTGCAGAATGTAGTACTCTTTGGGCTCAAAGATTCAACAGTCTTAAAGATATATGATAAGTCACTTTCTCAGAACACCAAAGAACAACAAAGCAGTTGTACGCAAGGGAGTATAAAAGTCATATTAACATTCAAACCAGCCATATCAGTGCCGTGAACACAAAACAACACTAATATAACCATACAGAAAGAATAACTATCAGGAGAGAAGCTTATTCCACTGAACAAATTAAAATAGAACACAAAATTATAATCGATATTGCTGTTTGGTTGACACCTATATTCCACTGGAGGCGTAAAATTGAACTAATATATTTAAAAACATCTTTTCTGTTCTTTCAAGCAAAACAAGAACTAAATCAATTCTGTTATGGACCTTTACATCTAATATCCGCATTTGGTAATGCGTTTCTTGTAAATGGGTAGCCAACAAAAAACCTGTTGGACATTCCCCAGTATACCAGATTTTAACAAGCAATCAGCAGTAAGGGGTCTAAATAGTAATCTAATTTTCTTTTAACAAGAACAGAGGGAAGAGAACTGGTGGACAAAGCATAGAAAAATGACCGATATAAAATAGACGTACTAAAAAGATATATACAAAGAAGATTTTGAGACGATAGACGTGACATTGAGATAGTGAGTGGGCCTTGGGGTCACTGTGTAGTTGTTTCTTTGTGATCTAAGTGACCGGAGTTCATATCATGAAAATAACCTGTTTGAGCGGAGCTAAGATTGTGTATATTGACCTCTCAAGGCGTATTACCGGGGGCATGGAGCATTAGATCACCCTTAATGCAAGCTGAAGTTGAAATGGTTTGACTTAAAAGGCTTAAGTCCAGGCAAATAAGAACTCAAAGACAACAAAAGAACATACAGGATAAGACTACTGGTGTTATGGTAATAACAAGTAATATTTAGTATAGTTTTTAGGATTGTGATTCCAGTTATGTGAAAAAGCCAATGAGATAGCGAAAATAAGAACAAAATACTGCTTACCCACTGATAGTTGCAGTTGAAGATAGCTTTCCTAAGGTACCCCTAAGAAAGAATATGTTTTGCACAACTAACATCTCATTTCAAAAGCTAGGCCTCAAGGAGAGAAAAACATATGCTTAGCACAATCTTGTTTATTGAGAAATATGCAGTCCTAGTAAGGTTATAGAAGCAACCAAATAGTCACGAGGTGTACATGTACTTGTGCCTACAATCGATGTAGGTTATTATGAAGAAAGAAATAGGGAAGAGACAACAGGAAACAACTTCATTAGCAGACAAAAAACATAAATAGCATTTTGTCAATGTTATCAATAGAAGCTTCTTTATCCGCGTCATGCTAAAACCACAGCAAGAACTTGAAGGTGAAAGTATACATTAGCATTTTGTCTATAGTATCCATACAATTTCTGCATCACATACATGTATGTATATGTATATGTGTGTGTGCACACACACGCATGCATACACATGTATGTGCATGCATAAGAGTTGACACTCACCAAATCAGATGCCAAATATTAGCTATAATAGCATGCAATTTGAAGGGAAATTGCTAAGACCTATGAATAGTCAGCTTTTTACCTCAATAGAGGCTAACAATCATGTGACTACATTATTCTACTGCCTCGCAATATTCCAGGTGGGCAAGATCATCAGGATATGCAATTCCTTAAAGATTATCATACACCCAAACTAGGAGGGGACTATGATGGCATATAGGACTAACAAGCTTATTACTAGTGACAAAAGCTTATCATTTTAGGGCCATGTTGTCAAGGACCTATATATGCATATGACAGAGTGGAGCCATCACTAGGCCAAAACCTCATATGCCGCCTACTTGCAAAAGGATTTAGGCAATGTGTGGGGTCATGACAAGGCTATCAAACCGTCGAATGGGAAGATAGTGTCACCCCAGTAAATCCTAGATCAGAAGTGAGAATGAGTTATGATGGTCTAAGGCTAGATATGCTCACGACCAGTAACAAGACTTGACGGTTTGGCCACATGGATATGGGCCAACATATTCTAGTTACTGGGCTAGTGGATCAATCGGGTCAGGTCATGATAAATAGCTTACTAGATTTACGGATATATTAAACAATTCAATTCATACCATCTCTAGCATATAATTCTTTTAACTAGTACAAGCCCAGAATCCATAGTTATACATTCAATAAGTGAATTTTATAATTATATGAGAGTGCTGTAGCTAGCCTTAAAAACACTCATTGAAAGATACCAGTTTATGTAACAAAGCCAATCATCTATACCCATCCCCCCTTTGTCCCATATAAGAAAGAAATCTGAAGACCACAGTCATGATAATCTCCACATTCTAGTTAACATGGAATTCTTCCAAGTTGCAGTACTGGTCATAAGAAGAACTAGTGAAGTAACAGTATAGGGCAAGAGATATGAAAAGTCAAGAAGCAAAAAGACCAGCATACTTTTGGTGCGAGATCATTTGCATCCCAGTGCCACATTTCTTTGTCTGTATGTTGGAGGTGGAATAATTATTCCTCAGTTCTGACTCACTAAGATCCAGAAACTTGATTGCTGATGTTTTGATGGGACTTCCTTTTCATGTGGTTGTCTTCTATGAAATGAGATTGTTGAAATTGCAACACCATTCACTGCTTCTAATTAAAGCAATTCATTGCACATATGTTCATGGTGTCCAGCGTATATAGTTAAAACAATTCATTGCATCAGAAAAACTCAATATGTGGCTTAAAGATACCAAGCCAAGTAATCATAAATAGAACATCTAACTATTTGCTAAATTATTTTATGGCACTACCATTGCATCTATAGACACCAGGGACCAATAATGCCAAACATAACAAAATGCCAAATCCACTGATTGAACAGTGATCTAAAAAAAGAAAATTGGGAAAAAACAATACAGAAGAAAAAGGCTTGCAAATCATTTAACATTGTTGAACACAAACATGGACAAAGTCATCAAGAGTACTACTTTTTTACTTTAACTTTTGCACATTATCCTCAATTGTAGCATAGCTGTCTCTTTCTTTTGATAATCTAATTATAGAAAAAACAATAATAAGAAATATACAAGTGAAGTTCAAACAATGTTTCAAAACTGTAAACATAGAATGGGTAGTTCAGGTTCTTAAGGCAATGCCTTAAGCAAATTTACTTTTGTAATTATGCTAATTGCAAATTGGTCAACAACATAAATTTTCAATACGTTAATGGTTCAAATAGGAATAAATTAATTCTTAGCCATCTAAGAATATCATTTTCAGATGTTATGCAGGTAGATACATTAATGGTTCAAATAGGAATAAATTAATTCTTAGCCATCTAAGAATATCATTTTCAGATGTTATGCAGGTAGATACATCCAAATGTTATGCAGGTAGATACATTAATGGTTCAAATAGGAATAAATTAATTCTTAGGCATCTAAGAATATCATTTTCAGATGTTATGCAGGTAGATACATCCAAATGTTATGCAGGTAGATACATTAATGGTTCAAATAGGAATAAATTAATTCTTAGGCATCTAAGAATATCATTTTCAGATGTTATGCAGGTAGATACATCCAAATGTTATGCAGGTAGATACATTAATGGTTCAAATAGGAATAAATTATTTCTTAGCCATCTAAGAATATCATTTTCGGATGTTATGCAGGCAGATACATCCAAATGTTATGCAGGTAGATACATTAATGGTTCAAATAGGAATAAATTAATTCTTAGGCATCTAAGAATATCATTTTCAGATGTTATGCAGGTAGATACATCCAAATGTTATGCAGGTAGATACATTAATGGTTTAAATAGGAATAAATTAATTCTTAGCCATCTAAGAATATCATTTTCAGATATTATGCAGGTAGATCCAAATGTTATGCAGGTAGATACATTAATGGTTCAAATAGGAATAAATTAATTCTTAGCCATCTAAGAATATCATTTTCAGATGTTATACAGGTAGATACATCCAAATGAAACCAAAGAGAAGTCCGTTACCTGCTATGACATATTAAACCTAACAATCCATTTATTGATATTGTGCGGATAAAATTAGCCTTAAGCTTACTTCTCTTTATCAACGAAAGAAGTAACTTTGCTATTCTCGGTAGACAAAAGATCAGACATGTTCTCCAGCAGAATTCTTCTTGTCCAACAGTAGATGAATTAAAAAGCTAATCAACATTCTTAAATCAAAGAATAGGGTGAGGAAAAGTGAACTCAAGCCACATATAGCCAGTGAAGTGAATTAGATTGCAAGATAGCTAGTGCCATATATAACAAATACATCCTGCTTCTAGTTTGTAGTCGCATCAACTTCCCAAGGACTGTTACTAGCATACAGGTAAGCTAACCAAACTATATGCTTAAACATGAGATCATATCCAACTCAATATGACAAGAAGATTTACACAACAAAAGGAACTACCAAAGACCAGCAAGAACAAGAAAACAATTGAACTTGCACAACAAGAGGAAAATAATTAATTTCTAGAAAAGATAGATGTAAAATAATTTTTAAGTGGTACAGACCATGATATCCTGTACCTCAATGGCAGTGTATAGATCAGGTACAGTATGGTGATAGCATGATGCTCTCAAGAGCTTGAAAAATAGCATGGTGCCATACAACCTTTCCTCAACCTGATGATATTTGCACATCATGATACATGTATGCAAAACTCAAACAAAGCTCTCGGTCTCTCTCATCGCCCCAGCCTCCCCAACCTTTAAAACCTGCTTGGTAACCACTTTGCTTCTTGACAACATGCACCTTCCAATCAGGTTTTATGTTAAGAATCTTGTCAATTTCATCTAGTTGAAATCTTGCTTCCCCATTATCGATGCATGAACTACTCTTCCCTCGTCCCTGATGCAGCCCACATTTACCAAAATGGGCAGCACTTCTCCTAGGACCTCTCAGAGTGTAAACCGGGGTCCCAAATGATGGATAGACAGTAGCCCACATAGTTATGTCCCAGTTATACTCATCAAATGAGCAAAACTCCTTTGCTTTTGTATGGATCTTCCTCCAAACAGTCCGATTAAAGGAATAACCCACATTGCCCATTTTCTCAGCAACCAGCATATCCCAGCCTTCTCCGATGGAGTTCACATCCATGGGTGACAAGTTGGCAGCATAACACTCAGGGCATTTCATGGGCTTCAATCCTATAAGCAACTGAAGGTTCCGGTAAGCATTCGGATAGATATAATGGTCCTCTTCAATGAAAAGAATGTGACCAGAGAATCCCTTGGTTTCCTCCATACCATCCCACACAGTATTCATCATCCACCACCAGTGATGCTTCAATGAGACGGTCCTTGGTGACCTGTGGTTACCATATTGGTCAGCTGTCCCATTACACTTGGTCACGATGGGGTCATCCTTATCGTGGCAATCACCAGGCGAGACGCCCGGAAAGCCATCGGGGAATAAGTGCGGAGAGTAGGGCGCAAAGATCTGCTTGGCCTGGCAGAACCGGATGTCCTGAACGATCCTGTCCATCTCGGCGAAGTAGCCATCGTGGCTGACGATCAGCATTGTCTCGCTGATCCCCTCCACAGCCGCGAGGCTGCTTACTACCAACCGGAGGTACTGGGGGCGGTTGTGCACGTAAAGGACGATCTTTGTGTGATCCTTGGCCAGGTTTGGAAAACGATCCATGTTCCAGGGGGGCAATTTGTTCCTCTGATCCAAGGACATGGACAGGATGCTCTGTTTCGGCAACTTCAGCTCGGATTTGAGATGTATCACCAGCGAGCGGTCGGTTTCCCAAACAGCAGAGCCTCCATACATGTTCACAAACGAAGAAGAGGAAGTAACTGTTCCCACTCTGAGTAAAAAGGTCACAAGCAGCACCGCGAGAAGGACTAGGAGGGCGAAGGGAAGCATTCGCCGCAACGGAAGTGCATCTTTCACAGCTCGAGATTTCCTATAAAAGGCCATGGATTTCGAAGTTCTTGGAAACCTAGTACATCTCAGGTCTCCGGCTCTTAACACCGATACACGACTACGTGGCTTTTGTAAGCTCAAAGGGACGGATGGAAGGATGGATCGGAAACAAGAAAGAAATGATCTTTCTCCAGAAGCGAGAAAGAAATCGATGAAGCAGAGGTGGTCAACTCAGACGAGAGGATTCTTGAATCCCTAATCTAGCGAGAAGCCAAATCGAATAGATCTCAACAACCCCGCTAACATTAGGATATTGGAAGCTCGCTCAAAACGACCGACAAATCGGGGAACCAAAGAAAGAAATCGATCGCCAGAACATGGTCGAAGCATCCGAGGGAAGAAGAGAAGCGACCAACCTCAGGAACGATCTGTGGAGGGCGGAGAAGGAGGCGGAAGAAGAGGCAGAGGCAGGGCGGGGCGGCGGCGGGACGAGCTGTGAACTGCTTTCCTGAAACCCAGTGCGAGGAAGCTGCGAGCTAATAGTAAACTGAGGTGTCGACTGCAGCATTTTTCTACCCGTCAAACGAAATCTACCTCAACTACCCGTGTGGTCTTTGGAAGGTATGATGTGGGGGCCCACACGTTGTCTCGAAACGTAAACCAGCCGCGGGTACGCTTGTGGTTCACCAAATAAGTAGCTTTCGGCGAAGCGAGTCATCCTTTGACGAAATTTGTACGTATACCTCTTTGGTATTGTTGTATTTATCCCTCCAATTTCAATTAATCTTGTTTAAGTGAACATGCCGTTTTGTGGTGCATGTATTAATTTGATGCAGGTATTCTCCATATATAAATGCACTTGTATTAAGCAAATGTACGCTTCTTGATCTTAAAAGTGTTTGGCCAAAACCGTAATGCAATGTCCACGTTACAACCGTTTCCTTTACGAGACAAAGACGCGGATCTGATGCTGCAACATGGGGGCGGAGGAGCGACCCATCCGTCGTCGTGGAGCTGCAAATGTCACTGCTTTGGCGCGGGGAGAACACCCAGCTTTGCCCGCTCGGACCACAATGGCGATGGGGCCATCTGGGAGCGGAGTGCACGGCGGCGCATGGAGACGAGCTTCATTATTCGCCATCGCCATGAACGGTAGGTGGCGCATCTCCATCCGGGAGCATGTCGCCCTGGGCGAGGCTTCGCTGTCTCCATCACGGCAGGGACCCGTGAATCGCATCCCCCCGGTGGCTCATTCATGATGAGGAGCAGAAGACAAACACGGATACGCACAGCGTTCGATCTCAATGGCACGAACGCTTCACCCCATCACCATTAGTTATGTTTTCCTTACAATATTATAAATCACATATGTAAATGTGTTTATTATCATATCTATCACACACACACACATAATGCGTAGGAAATTACATGATGGAGCAGCCGTAGGGAGGCTCCTCTTCGCAGACGATCTTGTAGCCCTGTACCTCGTAACACGGAGGGCCGCCGTAGTACATGGCTGGTGGAGGCGGTTCGTCTGTCACCAGGCCGCAGGAGCAGCAGCGGCAGGACCCGTAGCGCGGCTCGTAGCAGGGGCACGGCTGGTGGCAGCAGACCGGCCACACCGGGGTCCGGAAAGCCCACATAGGCGCCTTCACCACCACATCGGGGGGCGGGGTCGGGTCGGGCTTCGGTGGCGGCGGCGGTTCAGGAGCAGGAGGTGGCGGTGGTTCCGGCGCGGGCGGCGGCGGTGGTTCGGGCCCAGGAGGCGGCGGTGGTTCGGGCCCAGGAGGCGGCGGAGGTTCGGGTGTAGGAGGGGCCGGTTCGGGTGGGGGAGGAGCCGGTTCCGGTTCGGGTGGCGGGTTGTCCGGCTTGATCTGGATGTCTTTGATCACCTTGGAGGCGAGGCAGCAGAGCTTCTTGATGAAGCAGTCGGGATTGAAGGGGCCGGAGACCGTCACAGTGTCGTCCTTCTCATCGTAGGCGATGGACTGGATCTTGTATTGTTCTAACATAAGGAAATCCACAAAAGACATTCTATAAGAAAGATGTGATAGTACTAGAACAGTAGCGTAGGGAGGAGAGACGACAATTGCATGCTTACTTTGGAGCTTGCATATAGCTTTTTTAATCTTCTTGGAGCAGAGGCAGCAGTCAAGATCGACCTTTATGATCACCGTGGCAATCTGTGATAATTACACCAGCAAAAAAAATACTACTAGATGAGATATATAGATATATACGCATTCATGTACATATGCGAGCATATCAAGTTCAACAAAAGGAACAATAAATATCATCTTTCTTCATTTCAATGTATTAATTTTGGTGCATGATTTGTACGAGTGGAAGTCAAATTGTGAATGACCAAGAGCAACATGTAAAGGAAACTTAGATTAACATATGAAGCCGAGAAATCTATAAGAAGCCGAACTGGATTGGGAAAAAAAAAACATCATATCTACCAAATTCAGTTAATGAAATGCACAACAAAGGAAAGATGGAGGTAAAAGAAATAGCGAAAAACATAAATGCAGCAAGGAGTAGTAGAACCACACCCGAAAACTCCACGAGTACTGACAGATTAACATCGCATTCACCACAAAAAGAAAACAGCAGATACGAAGTATAAAAGAACCAATGCAACTTTGCAGACGGTAGACATACAAGTGATCAGAAGAGCATTAAAAGAGAGGGAGGAGGGAATTGAGCACCTTCTCTGCCATTTCTTGCGAGTGCTGAGATCCCAAGCTAGAGCAGAGGAGGAGGATGGGAAGAGGATCTTCTTTATAGACATAGATGATAAACCAAAGTGCACTGAGGTCATGAACCACCCAGCCCAGACAAGAACATGTGTCACTCTCACCGACTTATCTGCTGCCTTCATGGGTACGTTTAAGCGCAGAGTCATGCACCTTTACTCTCACTTTGGTTGCTTGTATTTGATGATCGATGGCCTATTCTAGATATTCCCAGTCAAAATGCAAAATTCCTGTTGGAACCAGAGAGAGAACTTTATATAAAAGATATATGTTTAGAACATGGAAAAAAGAACACACAGAAATATTTGCACCTCCCTCAAATTTGAAAAAGGAGAGTTGCTTGGTCATGACAGATGAGCATCAAATTCAAATAAGATTGCTTTCTGAGGAAGCTTACAACCACCTTCATACCTTAAAACACATTAATCCTTTGCACTAGATTGATAAATTTCTTTCCTTGTGTAGACGATCATCATCAACTTATCTTGCCGACTGATGGAGTATTGTGGTCAGTGTGGTTTTCAATGGCGATGTGACCACCGAGAAAATTATACACAGCTCAATAGAAATCCTTTTCTAGGTTTGAAACAACAATGTAGTTAAAAGAGTTATGACCCATCAACATCTAGAGTCATATTGGGTCTAAATATCATTATTACCTGCCCTGCCAATTGAAGATTTGATTTTGACGTACTCCCTGCTCAAATTTTAACTGCTTTCAGATTCATAACTTTTAATGAACAAACTTCTATGATGTCTTTCTAAGTGAAGCATTTCTGTATCTTCTCCTTCTATTGGCCTGTTCTGAAATCTGGTTGCCCAGGTGATATCTTAATAGTTGACAGCCAGCCATCTAAGATAATTTTAAACTAATTTCTTATGCGATACCCTTTTTCCTACTATAAACTGGGAGGTTCAGAAATCAATTCTTGTGACTTTGAACAGGCAGAACACAAGGATGCTTGACTATCTAAAAATTTTCTCAAACTATTTATTGTCCCTCAAGACCACAGACTATAGTCTCTGGCTGATAGCTCGCTTAAGTATCCTCACTCATCCCACATGGCTTCTCAAGCCCATACTTGTGGATCTCCAATTCAAAGAGTATCGTGACACTTCAGAAACCTTGACCAAAAGCCACATGATCACAGACAAATAATAAAAGAATATGATGGCTTTTCTTAAAGTTATCATAAGGATCACCCATGGCACATCATCTTAAACTTGGCAGTCTCCTTTTTTCACTGGCTTTGTGTGTCGCACGGAACTACATCTTAACTAGCTTCTTGGCTTGATAGGACCAATAAGCGCAAAACACATGCAGAGAAAAGGAAGAAAGGTCTGTCCTGAACGACTCATTAAACAACAAGAAATAATCATGCTTTTGCAATTGTCTTTGTGGGTGGCAAATAAGAAGTTGTAGGTGGCATTCACAAGGTCACTTTCCAGTTGAGAATCTAATCTCCGTTTCTCTTCTCCATTCCGATCTGCTTTTTCATTCCTAAGGTGTCATTACCAACAAGGATGCAACTGAGTGGAGAATAAGTTCCACTACATATTTGCAGCACCGCATTTCAACTTTCGATGAATGGATAAGAATGAAAGCCTTTAAAACTGTCGACATATCTTAATGCATATTAGTATAATTTCCAGGAATTCATAAATTTAGCTACCATTCAGGAAATAATTACAAGAAGTGTAATCATTTTAACAACTATAAAAGGATCCAAACTGTGAATCCCATACTTAAATAATGTATATAGAACTGCTTCATGTAATTATGTCCACATGTTACTTGCAAGGTTTCTTTTGTGGGTGTCTAAAGTACTGATCTTGTGGTCAAACTGAATTGAAAATGTATCAACTTTTACCTAAACAAGAGAAGAAAAACATAATTCATGGAGAATCTCCAAACTAGTAAAAAATCATGCAAATACCAACAAAAATATATGACCGAGGGCCAAGGAAATGAAACTAGTAAAATGCAAAAAAAAAAAGGGGGAAGGAAATTCTGATACAAAGGACAAACCCTAATCAAACTAACATAATTCAATAAAATAGTTCTTAATTCAAAAAGTCAGATCTTTTACCCGTATATTCAATTTGGCGAGCATCAAACGAAATGTAACATATATCATGAAGACTCGAGGACGAAGATAAATCTAAAATTTCTCTAGGCATCGTTCCAAAAGAATATCCTACAGAGGAAACTGATACAGAACAGATTACCTTGTATGGCTCAAAAGGGTACTTCTACTTCCGGAGATTTCGATTCGTATAAATAGAAGGGAAGCATCGATATGCTCTCGACTTATTCCTGTTCAGAAATCAAAGATTTTAAGAACTCCCCAAGATTCCAGAGAAAGTAGAACGCCAAAAAGAAGGTTACACCGTGAATTCGAGCGGAAATAATGCACGAAGAATAACCAAGGATCGAGCAGAAGGAGATGAATCGTCCGCGAAAAGAAGTATTCTATGATGAGATCGATTGCCCGAGAGGGAGTAGAGGGGAGTCGACCGATTGAGTTTGAGAGAGGATTCGAATTTGATGGGCGGCAACTCAGGGGCTTTTCGTAAATTTCAAAAGTACGAGAGTCTATTCGTAAAACTCAAATTAAAGTTCGACCCGAACCCAAGTAATTGGGCCGAACTACGAGCCACTATAACTCAACCCAACCGACGATCCAAATTAAACATGCGAGCCGAAATGTTCATTTACGCTTCCATCCTCATGATATATTTATGGAAATCTGCTGATCGAGGGTGGTTCTTACAATATATACAACACACTTTATATCGATCGGAAAAGAAGGGTTCACGTCACTTTAAAACAGTATTCAACAAAAAAGGAAAAAGAGATTTTTCTGAGAAGGAAAAAAATCCTTGAATTTTAGCTTTTGATGACACCAGCTTCGTTCCAACTTAATTAGATTGCAATCCTGTCCAGGTCAAGACCAGAATTTGAGTGGCTTAGATGAGTCGAACGCAGGATCGAGTCGAGCCAATCATCATAACCTCAGCCTTATCCACACACCAGAGATAGCGTAGGAGGAGATATGTCACGGGCCGCCACCGGGATCTTCCAAACCAAGAAATGGCCACCCCGGCTCTCTTCATCCCCACCGTCGGCAATGGCTTTGTGCGCAGCTCATTCCCGCGCTTTTCCTTTCCTTCTCTTCCCGCCGCAAGAATCATCAAACCAGCCAGGATCTACGCAAATCTAGGTACATGTATTGCTGCTATCCGAGTAGAGAAACAAGAAGCTCCTGAAGAACTAACTGCTGGTTGTCGGAGGTGCAGGTGGAGCGGATGGAGAGGCGAAGCCTGCCAAGAAGAAGTTCATCACCAGGGAAGAAGAACCAGACCAGTATGCTTCGTCTCCTTCTCTTGTTTCTGTATCATCTTCTGCATGCTAATGGATACATATGATGGTGATGCAGATATTGGCAGACGGCAGGTGAGAGGAAAGGGGAAAACCCCATGAAGACACCTTTGCCGTACATCATCATCTTCGGTATGTCGACGCCTTTCGTCATCCTCGCCATTGCATTTGCTAATGGCTGGATCAAGATGCCCATGAAGTGACTGAGAGAGAGAGAGAGAGAGAGAGAGATGGCAGTTTATGATCGTTGTTTAGCTAACACAAAAACGTGTACTGTCTACTGTTTCGATCAACAAAGGAGTTTGTCTGCAGTAATCGATCTGCATTATTGTGCCGTGAAAACATGGCAATCGCTGTGTACAAACCACTGGGAAGAAGACAATATATTACGTCATCACCAAAGTAAAAGCCTGCATCTTAATAGTTGTCCCCAATCCACCTTCGCTGAAACGAACCTCCCTTTGTATTTATTTATGGAATCGAAAAGTTTGCATCTTCGTATTTTTTATGAAATAGCCATCTTATTAATTGCTATCTCCAAGATCAATTAATGGTGCACATCAAAATCATGTTGTAGGTATGGCCACCAGCTATGTCAGGTCTTTACCAGGGGAGCTGATTCCTGGCACGCAAGTCTATCTTAATCACCAGTACAGTGTGACACCATCTTAGATATATACTTCTTTTCATGCATGGGTTTGCTCTATAAGATCGGATATGGAAGTTCTAAAAGAGCTCAGATATAAATTAAGACAACCATGCTCACTTATCCAAGCTTTGATTGAGGTGGAACAAAGCAACACCATGTTATTTGCAGGCATCTCCAAAAGCCATGGTCCATGGCCTGATCAAGACCTTGCAATTGACTTTTCTGTCTTCAGCTCTTCCCCACCGATGGCACACAAAATGGAGAGCACTGCTCTCCATCTTCTGAAACCTTCATGATAATGCTTTCCCCAAAATCGATCATAACATAGAAGAGAATAATATATGCACATGAAAACTCGGTTTCTTGACTGATTAGATGGAGAATTTTGACCCCTCTTTTTGCATGCTTATAGAACCTAATTCTAAGAGACTCTGCAACCTCATCTGTGAGTTCTATATATTATGTTGGTGAGAGAGTTGTACGTACTATGTTTGAGCTGTAACTTGCGTGTGTCCAGCAAATGCTTGTTCCTGTTGTACCCGCCTCTTTTCTTCCTCCCCCAAGTCCTTCCAACTTCAACTCTGGTATTATATTCTGCAGGCGGCGTCAGCGATGTCTCCGATCTAGCCATCCAACTTTGACGAAGCTGCTGCTTCCATTGACATGCAAGTAAATGGATAAGACAGCTTTCACTTTCTTCTTTCTCGGAAGAAGAAAGCCATGTGCGGCCTCTGGGGTTAATTTCTTGCCACGGCGACAGCTTAGCGTCAGCGTCCGTAGACGCTTATGCTACGTGAGCATGATGCTACTATCTTAGCCATGTCATCAATCATCGACGCCATATAAGAGTGATGAAGATTCCTGCCATGTCATACTTGTTTGGCAATTCATCCACATAGGTCCCAAATGGACAATATGTTACTTACGAACATTTGCTTGATGTCCATCGAAGTGTCTATCACTTTGAGCCACAAGTTCGAGTCATGTTTGTTGGCAAGTCTCCTTCAGTCAACCCAATAATTTGATTGACCACTCAATTGATTTGGTATAGGGCACATCTACACAAATCATACATATGTACATAAGCAACCAATTCAGCATTTGGGAGAAACTCCTGTAAACATTAAAAAAATATTATCTTTTATTAAATAATTAATTAAGCATATTTCTTTTTCACTTATTATGATAATAAATATCCACTAATAAAGCCTCTGTCAAATTATCGTCGCTGCTGCTCTTCTCACTCACTCTCGCTCTCTGTCTCTCGTCTCTCTCTATATATATGTCGGTCGCTACACTCCGAGATCGGTGAAAAGATTGAAGCTCGAGAGCAATGGCATCCAATAAAAGCTCCGTACCTCAAGAGTCGGCGCCGGAGGTGGCAGCGGCGGCGGGGGAGGAGGAGGGGGAGGAGAAGGAGTACCGCCCGGTGGAGGAGGTGGCGCTGGTGGTGCCGGAGACCGACGACCCTTCGCTCCCGGTGATGACATTCCGGGCCTGGTTCATCGGCCTCGCCTCCTGCACCATCCTCATCTTCCTCAACACCTTCTTCACCTACCGCACGCAGCCGCTCACCATCTCCGCCATCCTGGCGCAGATCACGGCGCTCCCTGTCGGTCGCTTCATGGCGTCGGTGCTGCCCAACCGGGAGATCAGGGTGTTCCGGAACTGGGGGTTCAACCTCAACCCGGGCCCCTTCAACATCAAAGAGCATGTTATCATCACCATCTTCGCCAACTGCGGGGTGTCCATCGGCGGCGGAGATGCCTACTCCATCGGCGCCATCACCGTCATGAAGGCGTACTATAAGCAGAGCTTGAGCTTCCTCTGCGGGCTCATCATTGTGCTCACCACTCAGGTAACGGAAAAGAAATCCACCTTTTTCTCTCTTTAGCCCAACACTTATCTTGATTCCATGGAGACGGATTGGGCAGGGTTTAAGTCTACCATCTCTCCCATCAATCGAATGGTGTGGTACAGAGTTGAAGGGAAGATTTTTCCTCGATTAGGGGGAATAGGAAACACTTCTCCTTCAACAAAATAGACCTCATATTTCTGTATTTAATTCTTAGAAACATCAAGAAAAGAAGAAATTTTGTTCTCCAATTATAATAGAAGCCTCTTGAAGTGGCTGATTTTTATGTTTGCACATAAAGACATTTTTTTCTTAGTAAAGATTTTTCTTTTTTGACTTACATGTTTCCGAGGGCAAAGACAAAACTGTAACATTAAGCTCTGGTAATCTATATACTAAATCTAAAACATCAAAACAATGTGAGCTTGCTTCGTGTGTCTTGATGTTGTTGTTTTGATAGTATTTTGGAAGCAATCAACACTTGATCATTTGATTTATGAAAGAAACCTTGTTCTTCTTCTCCTGATCACTACTTTTTTTCTTTGTCATAAATCTATATTTTCATGGAAGGGATGTATTACTTTACTTGCAGATACTTGGTTATGGATGGGCAGGGATGCTGAGGAGATACCTCGTAGATCCTGCTGAAATGTGGTGGCCTTCTAACCTCGCCCAAGTTTCACTCTTCAGGTCTGATGTACTGTCTTCTTTAATTAACCCATTGTAAGGTTTTATATGTAAACATCCATAGTCTGATTAATGCTTTGATCATTGCACAACTTCATGGGCTTAAAAAACTATATAATGGTTTGCTTAACAAATTTATGATTGTATGATTTTCCATGAAGCGTAAAGAAATTATGATGGCAGAAAAGTATTTTTTTTTTTTTTGTCTTTGGCTATTGCAATCTATTCTATAACTTGGTGTGAAGTGTGAACTCTTAATGCAGAAGGAGAATGAATCACTTGACTTGGAAAAGTTGACAAGCTTTATTTTGTGGGGATTTTGACAGAGACAACATCTTTAGACTTTCTATACACTGAATGATAGCAACTGAAAGAAACTATGCATTCTGTTTGCATCATCCTCTTTGACATATGAACTTGAATCTGTGCTAGACTGATACATTGATTACTGTGAATTAGCGTTCCAAACTGCTTTACTGCAACCTAGAATCTGAAAAAGTCCAAAGAACTGTAAACAACAGCTTCTTTGCCAAATATTTTAGATGCTTCTCGACTTTTACCTCCTGTCAAATATGTGATGCAGAGCACTTCATGAGAAGGATTCGAGATCGAAAGGGCTAACCAGGATGCAGTTCTTCGTGCTGTTCTTCGTTGCAAGCTTTGCATACTACACACTGCCTGGCTATCTCTTGCCCATACTGACCTTCTTCTCGTGGATCTGCTGGTCATGGCCTCGCAGTATAACTGCTCAGCAGATTGGGTCAGCTTACCACGGCCTTGGTGTCGGTGCCTTCACGCTGGACTGGGCAGGGATCTCTGCGTATCATGGCAGTCCTCTGGTCACTCCATGGTTCTCCATTCTGAACACAGCAGTTGGTTTCATCATGTTCATCTACATCATAGTACCGTTGTGTTACTGGAAATTCAACACCTTTGATGCCCGGAAGTTTCCCATCTTCTCGAATCAGCTCTTCACTACCAGAGGGCAGAAGTATGATACTACCAAGATATTGACGCCCAACTATGATCTCAATGTAGCTGCGTATGAGAGCTATGGAAAGCTCTACTTGAGTCCACTTTTTGCGCTCTCCATCGGATCAGGTTTTGCAAGATTTTCAGCCACCATCGTCCATGTTCTCCTGTTCCATGGCAGGTAGAGCAGATGCTATTCAAGTTCTTTTCTCTTTTATGTTTCTCATAGGATATTACATGCTGCATTCACGGTCTCAAATCTTTGTAAGGTGTCAGATTCTTATCCAGCTCCGTTCTTGTGCTTCGGGCGAACTCTGAATTAAGATTACGTGCAAGGAAGTTGTGATTTGTTTAGGTAATGCAAGTGCTTCTTCTTCCTTGCAGCGACATTTGGAGGCAGAGCAAGTCGGCAATGAACTCTGCCAAGGTGGACATCCATGCTAAGCTAATGAAGAAGTACAAACAAGTTCCTCACTGGTGGTTCCTCATTCTACTAGCAGCAAGTGTCATCTTGTCATTGATGATGTCGTTTGTTTGGAAAGAGGAGGTGCAGCTTCCTTGGTGGGGGATGATATTTGCCTTCGGGTTAGCTTGCCTCGTCACTCTTCCCATTGGGGTCATTCAGGCAACCACAAACCAGGTAAGGAAGCTTCATGAATTCCCTCTTCTTCTCCCAAGGATAGAATGACACAAAGAAGAACGTGGAATCAAATGGAAGGTTAATGACTGATCTTGTCACCGTTGACTCCTTTCAGCAACCTGGATACGATATTATAGCCCAATTCATCATCGGTTACGTACTTCCAGGGAAGCCTATTGCCAATCTGCTGTTCAAGATATATGGCAGAATCAGCACCATCCATGCACTCTCCTTCCTTGCTGACCTCAAACTCGGTCACTACATGAAGATCCCACCCAGGTGCATGTACACCGCTCAGGTGACGCAATCATTCATCTGAACATTTCCATCCCTTTCTACTTGGCCGATACCTAAACTTTCAACAACATCCATCTTCTTTCAGCTCGTTGGAACTGTGGTTTCCGGTGTCGTCAACCTTGCAGTGGCGTGGTGGATGTTGGGAAGCATCGAGAACATCTGTGACGTTGATGCACTGCACCCTGAGAGCCCATGGACTTGCCCCAAGTACCGAGTTACCTTCGACGCTTCTGTCATATGGGGCCTCGTAGGACCTGGCCGCCTCTTCGGGCATGGAGGACTGTACCGGAACCTGGTGTGGCTGTTCCTCGTCGGAGCAGCGTTACCCGTTCCCGTGTGGGCACTGAGCAAAATCTTTCCGGAGAAGAAGTGGATTCCTTTGATCAACATACCAGTCATCTCCTACGGCTTCGCCGGAATGCCTCCTGCAACCCCAACCAACATAGCGAGCTGGCTCATCACCGGAACCATCTTCAATTACTTTGTTTTCAGATACAGAAAGGGATGGTGGCAGAAGTACAACTACGTTCTCTCCGCCGCACTGGATGCAGGGACAGCGTTCATGGGTGTGCTGCTGTTCTTCGCCCTCCAGAATGCGAATCACAATCTGCGATGGTGGGGCACAGAGCTCGATCACTGTCCGTTGGCATCATGCCCCACTGAACCTGGGATATCAGTAAAAGGATGTCCGGTGTTTTAGCCACGAGCTCTGGATCGTCTTACCGCAGATGAACCCTTGACGATGTAAAAGGACAGAACAAAGATTGCAAGCTTAGTGTGCGTCTGCGTTTAGGAGCACGAATAAACTATATGGAAAGGAGTCATTCTCACGAATAAACTATACATGTTGATGTTTCCCCAAGGATATCTGTTCATCTTTCTGCAAACGCCTTGTTCAACGTGAACGTAGGAGAGATGGCCATGGCGTATGCTGCATGGGAAACAACGTATGCCACAACAGGAGAGGAGCGCAGACGAGGGGAATTGACCTGTTAACATCCTGTCATTATTACTTCATATCGAAATCAAGACATTTTTTTTTTCTCCTTTTATAATTTTATGCCTTTTTTTTAACTTGCTCAATATCTTAGTCACAACAGAAATCAAACATACATTTTGACCACCCATATGGTCTCATGGTGCGGAAATGCATCCAAAGTATGCTTCCTGCCACCCATCCAAGCTCCGGTTGGTGGGCCACCTACGATACCCACCGTCACGTGCCCTGCAGCCCACCGAAGCCCAACAAGAAATATATATATATATATATATAAAACTCGATTATGAGCACTAAATAATATAATACCCGAAAAAAGAACGCCACCACGCCTATAAAGCCCTGCACTAAACCCCCCATCTCCACCGCCTTCTCGCGGTCTCATTTGGTTCCCTCTTCCAATTCTCTACCGCCCTGTTGCTCTGGCAGCCATGTCGAGCTCGCCGCCGGAACGACGCGGAGGCGGGGGCGAGGGGGAGAGGGGAGAGGAAGCCGCCGCCCCCGTAGCACGCGCGGCCGCTGGCCTCGGACGCCGCCGTTCGGGGGATCCTTCCTCGTCGCGGCAGAGGTCCGCCGACGAGGTCTGGCCGGAACACTTCGTGGAGGCCGTCGCGGCCCAGGTCGCCGTCGACGCCACTCGCTCCGCCGGGCGCCTGGCCGCCGCGCCTGCCGTCGTCGCCGTGTTCCAGGTCTTTCCTTCTCCTTTACATCTCCGCTGTGTTATCCAAGCAGACCGCAGTAGTTTCTCTATCATATTATTCTCTAGCTTCGCGGCAGTTCCATATTAGTTATCAACATCTCATGAACATTAAGTTTGGAACCACGAAAACCATGGATAGAGCATGATAATAACCGTGTTGGAACCACGAAACCCGGATGAGTTGTCTACAGTGCGTAACGATATCGCTAGAATAGCAATGGGCAGTAGACTTGCTCTTGGAGGAGGAGAGGTTCCGTGGAGTGTTTCCACGTATAGGTGTTCTTCGGATCGCTCTTTTGTTTGGTCTATTTCTTCGTTCCTTTGGTCTCGTTTGGGTTATATTTATTGTGTGCAGTACCACCCTTACTTGTGCTACCGAAGTAGCATAAGCATTCCTTCTGCTATTTCTCTCTCTGACGACGGCTAGCTCTGCGAAGCTACCTGGGTTTCGACTTCGCTCCTCTATCGCGTCTCTTTCTCTCGTTCTCTCTCTCTCTCTCCGCAGTCGGAGCCAGTCGGATGGCTGGCTTTTTGCTGGACAGTTTGCGCTTGCAATTGTCGACATCTTCTACAACGTTACACGATTCTGCTGCTGTAGCAGCAGAAGCAGCTGGGACTCCTCCTCCTCTGTCAAATCCATTACTTCTCTTTCTCTCTTAGAACTTTTGTGCACCGCTCCCAGACGGGAGGTCTGAGCGCAGAACCAGTGGTGGGTGATGGCGTGTGATCCTCTGTTCCTTTGACCGCGCCCGTTTTAACTCCCCTCGACCCATCCCTGTCGCTGCTTTATCTGCTTACGTTCAGCCGGTCCCCCCCGCGGAAAGGATCGAAGGAAAGGGAGCTCGGGGTTGGCGTACAGCGGATGGGATGCGATGAGATGAGATGGGATAGAATAAGGCAGAGCGGAGGCACAGGCGCCGTCAGCAGACGCCCGTCCCTTTCAGTTCCGTTTTGGTCCTTTTTTATCGGGGAGAGGGGAAGCATACAAACACACACACCCTCTTTTCTTACTCCAGCCAATTCTGTAGAGTTTGCTTCCCCACTTTCCCCCTCGTTCTTCTGCTTCGCGTGTGTCTGATGGTTTTATTAGACGACAAGTAGGAGAAGGGGTGATTGTGTTGACGGGCTTTTGAATGGAGGGCTCTCAATCCCAATCCTTTGGGTTAAGTTTCAGCCGTAGCGGGCGATGTCGTGTTGTTTGTGTATGGCTTGAATCGTCGGGCGAGAGTGAGAGTTGGTGGAGAGGGGGAGTGCTTTCTTTAATGGCGTTCCTTGGAAATGAAAGTGCGGGGGAAAGAAGCAGCACGGCATGTGCCTTTTGTTGCATGGGCGGACGAAACCTTCGCTGCTTCCAACGACATGGTTCAACTCCTCCACTCCCGCCTCCCCCCTCCCCCTCTCTCTCTCTCTCTCTCTCTCTCTCTCTTTCTCCCTGAGACCAAGAGGCCATAGGCTGCAGCAGCCCCCGGGGGGACGGGGGCGCTGGAATTCCCATTTTATCCTCTGCAGTCGGGGATGGCAACATCATCTTCGTCGCCCCTCATCCAAACCTATCCACCACCGCTGCTTTCTGCTGCTGACAGCTCTTTCTCAAGCACATGCACGCCTCATTCTTAGAACCAGTGTTTGTACACACTGCTCTCTTCATGCGTGCTCATGTGCGGGTTCTATAAGCTCCGCTTGCCATCGGAATCTGCATAAGAGGAAAATGTACGTGATTTCTCCAACCTTTTTCGTCTCCCCTGCTTTGCTTGGTTAAAACGTGTTGGGTCATATATAGTTTTACACGGAGGTCAAACGTTCGCGAGGCAACAGTGTCGTAGTTCCGTACTGCAAAAGCTTGTTCAAAGTCCCACCACCTCTGAACGCACATGGTCTCACTGCAAAGTCCAACGCCCAGTGGGCTTTGTCGTTTTACCATCGCTTCCTTTTTGTTGATGGGATGTAAGGATCCAGCCAAGTCCAAATCAGACCGAAAGTACTCTTCACAGACAGAATCGAAAAGAGAGTAGGGAGGGGAGGGGTAGGCTGGGGGCCAAAGAAAGGGAGAGAGAAAAGGGTCGATCAAATCTCAGCAATCTCGCACGGTTCTCACCATGCCTCCTGCTGTCCTGCCTCTCTTGGTGACTGCACCACCAAAGCCCAACTTTTTGGTGGGTCTTACCTTACAAGCCGTGGTACTGTTCACGGGCGGTACCTCCATTTTTGGGTGCGGTGGTGGTGGTTGTGGTGGTGGGGGAGGCGGCTCCCGGAGTGGTCTCAGGCTTTCTTAGGCACGCATGTGTACAAACCCCAATGCCCTGTTGTGTGTTGGAGCATCATCGCCTTCGGGAGGAGACCTACACATGACTCCATTTCTGAACGATGATATCAGCCACCACGAATGGGATTCTCCAGCGTACGAAGGCGTACGGTGTGAAGGTGGCGGTAAGGATTGCGGGAACAGGAAGTCCGGCGGCAGTACGTCATGCCATGGTATGGTTTAAAGGTGACAAAGGAAGGGCCGATTGCTGTGCGTTTTGTGATCCTTGTTTTATTAGCTACAGCATCGTGTATATATATATATATATATATATATATATATATATATATATATATCTCAGGGAGATGTGCCCTGATCTTTGAGGCCTGACATGCAGTTGTGCGTCGTCCCAGAGGGATTCACGGGATCCTATCATAACAGTAACAGATGCATGAGGCTGGTGGATTCTTCTTAAATTTAATGTTGGTTGCCTTCTCTTCCTTGTCTTTGGCCTGACATTGGCCTTCTCTTTCCTACGGTACGATTGAAGAAAGGTCTTAAAGCTGCTGCTGCCTCTGCCTCTGCCTCTGCCCTCTGCCTCTGCCTCTGCTGCTCCATCATATTTAATTGCAGCTCTCGGCCTTCGAACCATGAGCTCCGTTTCGTGAGCATTTATGGAGCGGAAGCGGAGGGTCTGTGGGGGTGGTGTGTGTTGATTAGTTAAGTGAGGCTCGGCAGCATCACTTCAATGCTTATGAAGCATTGCACGAGCCCCACGTCCTTTATTGGCCAAGCTGACGAGCTTTTATCGTCGGAAATCTGTGTCTTGTATGTAATTTAGAGATCTAGGGAGGTGTGCAAGATCTAATATATCATGGTCTCCGATATGTTACGTCCTGAACTCCACAAGTTCATCACGTAGACCAAACGTTGTCAGCATAATCTGAACATGCACAAGTGAGGAGGCAAAACTAGCTCTTCTTCAACCGAAGGTTATATTCTTCGTGCTACAAAACAAGGGGTGTGAAAGGAACACGATGGATGTTTGCCTTCTCACGCTGCCTGTTTGCTAAAATGCGAGTAGGGAGCATCAGTCTCGAGTTGCTGCATTACGTTGCATTCTTGTAGGAATTTGTCAAGACTGAACTTTTGTATCGAACATTTTGCCGCATTTGTCCTACGATAAGGTTTTTTGATGATCCAGGAGCGTACACTGATGTGTAGTTTACCTGCAACTTTCACATTGGTTTTAGCTGATACTCGAAAACTGTGGAGATAGGGTCATTTTGCTTTATTTGTATGTTCTAGATATCTATATTCTTCGATGAAAAAAACATAATTAAATAATTGCTTTATCTGCTCACATTTTTGACAATGTAGTAGTTACTCTTCGTTGTACATGAAGGAGAGAGATCAAGTAATATACAGATGCAGGTCAGGTCAACAACTCTTACACGATCTATATTTGATGTGCTTCAATGAACATATCATGTGCAGTAATCTGGGCAGAAATGCTAGGGGCCTTTGTGCTGTTGCCATCATGAGAATGGGGCAAAAATACTCTTGTTTAATATAAGAATTTGTGAGATAATACAAAAAACAAGGAATGGATCTATATTAGTATACATATGCAAACATGTTATGTGCATGCATATGAATGGTTTCATCTTTGGAAGTGTGTGTATATTTTATGTGATTTGTTTAATTTTGGTATATGTGCCTATCACTCGAAAGAAAAAACAAAAACACAAATAATGAATTGTTAGATCATAATTTTATGGTCCATTTTGGTTATAAGTGGTAATTGGTTAAATTTAGGATATCTCTTGATTGGAAAAAAGGGCATTTTTTCTGACTTTTCTTAATATCTTTTCTTGAAATGTAAATTTGTGCATCTTAACTCTGAGCCCCCGTTTTAACCTTGGTAATTTTGTTTGTTTGAATCAATTTACATCGAATGTTTATGATGTACACTATCGTTAATGTCTAGAAACAACAATGTGTTAGGCTTCTAAACCATTTGAACTGGAAATTTCCTTGGATGTAGAATAAGGATAATTGCTCAATGTCACACCGGGCGATGTTGATGAGTGTTTGATTGTCTTTTCGATGGATCATGATTTGATGAAGTATTGTATGCGTGAGTTGTGACAAGTTGAACACTCTGTTGATTGATCTCGTAGACTAGAAAGGAAAGATTCATGCTCAAATTTGAGGAGTGAAGAAACCTTGGCATGGACTTGATCAGGGTGTAGTTCTCCTGAAAATAATCCTAAAACTAAGATGAACAATTTGAATAACACAAACAATGTGTAGCCCGAAGAAATGAGATTCCTAGATTAATGCTAGAAAGTCTTTGGTCTCAAAGCCAGCTGACAATGTCTGGTTCATAGGGCATTCTTATATGTGAGATTTTTCCTGCTGATTTCCGATACATGCTTGTTGAAGATATTCACCTTATTTGTCCTGGACTAATCATTATCCCTTAAAACCTGTTAACTTGACAGCGCAGCAGTCGATGAAAGAGTTAGCATCAATTTATATGAAATGTAATGAGTTGTTAAGAAAGATTAGGTGCATTGCCTCTTCTCATGTAAAAGAAAAGAAAAGAAAATTTAGGATGATGCAGAGAGTGTTAGTCTCGAGATTATGAAAAGAAAGCTGGAGGACTTGACAATCTGCTGCTATTCACACCATGATTTATAATTCTGCAAACTCGGTAGTCGATGGAAAGCAAAAGCTCTGTCAAGGTTGGGTCAACAAAAACCTAAGCTCTTATGTAGAATATCTTCTCTTAGAATTCGCAAGTTAAGCTTGATGAGGTCGTGACTTTTGATCTTGCTCTTGTTATCTGGATATTTGCACTTTGTTAGTTAGATTCTGAGCATCCATGTTGAATTTGAGGTATGACGTTTTATCATATGATCTTGAGCATTGTCAATGCTAATCCTTGCAATGTGGTGTGACTATGTGAGTGCTACTGAGCTGATCTTGTTTCTGGTTTGGCTGTTATCATTGCTAGCTTGCTCAACAAATGTTGTCTTTTTAAGTTCGTAACATCACGGATTATTTCTCCCTATGTCACCTGAGTCCCCCGAAAAGCGCAAAAAACCCTTTTGCAACTTCTTTGCAGATTTCAAAAGGAACATAGACGAATAATGTCATGACTGCACTTGCACAATCTTTTTGTTCATCAGTCTTTCTAGGAACTCTGAAGTAGTAGTAATCTTGCATGCAAAGTTTGCTTTCTCAAGCTTGATGTCTGCACATGAATTCTCATTTCAGGAATCTCTTATCCTGTGGTCGCCTTTGTTTGCAGTGGATGTTGTTTTATGAGTTATTCGGCTCTATTTGAACTCTTGTGCGATCTTCTCTTTCTCTTTCTTTCGAGTAAAAATGGTAGAGTGAGAAGGTAAAATAGTCATGCTATTATTTGGTGATGTGAGAGAATTTGGAATGGCATTCACAAGCCATACGCTGAGTCTGAGCTTTTACTGCACTATCAGTTCGGCTGAGGCCGAGCTTTTATTGCTGTATCAGTCTCTGAGACTTCGAGTCATTCCAAACTCCGCATTCAATTTGGAGCAATGAACTCACACTTGCTGCATCAAGATCGGTACTGAAACATGCATGTCATTGTATGCTTTTGCTTCTACTTTCTTGCAACAAATGTCATAAATGTTAATCCTGCTACTTCGTCTCTCTGTGATAACATTCTTGTACTACAGGCAAGTTGTGTTCTACGTGACATACGCAACGCAATGCATGCTGTGGATTTGACGGAAAGCATTGTGAAGTGCTCAAGTCTACGCTATATTTTTAGGACATTACTCAGTTTCCATGTTTGAGTTGTGGTGGCGTTGATGGGGACTTGCAGGTGTGCTCGACGTGGAGAGACGTTTCCCGTTCGGAGCTCCTGTGGCAGGATCTCTGCCGCCGCGTTTGGTCTCGTCGGCGTTCCACGCTCCCGTCCTGGCGCGACGAGTTCGTTCGCCTCCACCGCACTGCCGCCAACTTCCGGTTCCGCCGCTGTGCCTACTCCCAGCTGCTGCCTGCCTCCGACGACGCACTCTCCTGCCGCCGTCTCGCCCTCTCGGACCACCACCTTGCTGCCGGCTTCCACGATGGCTCCGTCCTTCTGTTCGATCTCCCTGCCGGACAGCTGCTCGCCACCTACAGGGCCGACCCTCACCGCGACCGCCTCGGCCGCTTCTCCCAGGCTATCTCCGGCATCATCCTCCTCGCTGAGCCCGACGAGAGCCTGACCTTCTCTTCCCAGGACGGAGACATCCACGTGGCCAGCCTTGACGTCTCTGGCTCCGCCCGGCGTGCCCATGTCGGGAACCTTATGGAGGACGGAACGCTGGTGGACTTCACCGGCGACGCTCGGTGGTGGGTGGGCTTGTTCGCAGGTGTTCCCGGGCGGTCGTGGCACATCTGGGATGCCGACACCGAGCAGCTGGTGTATGTGGGTGGTACCTTGACGGACTCCAACGCTATCCTGGGTTGGCACATGCTTACCGACTTGTCTCGCCCGGTCCTCGCCCGCACGAGGATTGCGGAGCCAGGAATCGTGGTTGGGTGCACCGCTTCGAGCATGGAGGCGGTGGACTTGAACGACAGCGGCACAATCCTAAACCAGCTCGAACTCCCGCACGGCGCAGTCGTGGACTCGGTTGACGCGTGCGAGGGCCGGGTGATGGCCGTGGACTCGCGAGGTCTGGCGAAGGTGCGGGAGGTGCCGACGCTGCAGGAGCTTTGCAGGTTCGGCACCGGGAGGCGGGTGGAGGGACAGCAGCAGCAGGGTACGGTGCGTGTCAAAGCGTGCATGAACTGGTGTTACGCGATCGTGTGTTCCGGTCGCGGAGTTCGGGTATGGGATGCGACGACCGGCGCGTACTTGTACAGCTTCAGGGAGCGGATAGGCGAGGCCGCCGTCGCTGCTGCCAGTGACCGGTACGTCTCTGCTTGGGCCGACGATAGTGGTTTGCACCTGTGGGATTTTGGAGACTTGTAGGTGGATGAGCACATGCAGGGGAGCGGCAATATTTCTGCAAGTACGTAGAAGATGCTGACGCATGCAGGAGAACGTAGGAAGAGGAAGTAGGAGAAGGAATGGAGAGAGAGAGAGAGAGCGATCATGTCATTGATGATGAGAGTTGAAGTAAGCTACCATTGTATGCTGGGGGGCAATCCAGAAGACGCTTAGTATTGTTCTATGATTCATCTTCATCTTTGTTTTTTCTTCTTGTGATGGGGTTGACAAATCTGGAAGCAACTATTCTTCCAATTCACTGTCTGGGTTCGTATTTTTTCTGCCACTGTGCGACTGATTAAGGTTAAAAGCTGGACTTGGATCTGTAAAATGTAGAAGCAATGAAGACAGTGAATCATATGCTCAGAACACGGAAATGTAGGTTTCAGATCAGATAACATCTACATGTAGAGTATATGTCGTCGTATACACAAATATGCACAACTTGAGGGGTGTATAAGCAAAATTCTAACCTGGCGACGTGGAGCCATTATTTCATCTCATGCCATTATAACCATTGAAGTGGGCTAACAATAGGCTCTGCCCAACTTAATGCCACATTATTGGGCCAAAATCTGTCATTAATGGGCTTCATGTCGTAACCAAAGTCGTAAAATTGGCCTCAGGCGGTCGCCGGTGTCCGTCGCAGCAGCAGGAGTCCTTATAAAAGTCGGACTGCTCTCATGCGACTGTCGCAGGCTCGGCGGAGTCAGAGTCGTGTCGAAATAGAATTCCTGTTGTTTTAGTGTCTTCCACAGATTCGGACATGAAACTGCAACGGCCAACTCCAACTCCAACTCCAACTCGTCTTAGTGTCTTCCTCTCTCTGTATATATACACAGGCACGGGAGAGAGCACCCCACAACTCCTCCTCCTCCTCCTCCTCCTCCTCCTCCTCCGGTGCTCCACGGAAGATAACAATTCCCATCGCATCATGGACCCCGTCGCCGCCGGTGCTCCCATGGAAGACGACGATGCTCGTGGCATCATAAGCGATGGGCCAGCCGCAGACCCTATAACCGATGACCACAGCCGCCGAGCTACGACCTCTCCTCCCTCCCATCAATTGTTCAATTGTTGGGAAGACGACAATGGTCTTGGCATCAAAAGCGATGGCCCAGCCGCAGTCCCTATCGCCGATGACCCCCGCCGCCGAGGTACGACGTCTCCTCCATTCCTTCAATTGTTCGATTGTTTGTGAAGTAGCTGCCGTAGAATTAACGAGAGTCT